TTTTGCCTTTTCTTGATGATCCTACTCTTCTCCTTCTTGTTACTTCGTTAGTCTTATCTAGGATTGATTATTGTAACTCGCTCTACTATGGTCTTCCTGACTCTATACTCTATCCTTTAAGTAAAGCTTTTAACTCTGCTGCTCGTCTAGTTGCTCGTGCCCCTTTCTTTTCTCATATATCTCCATATCTTGTTCTCTTGCACTGGCTACCTATAAAATATAGAATAATTTTTAAAATTTGCACGTTCATGTATAAGTCTCAATCTAAATTATTTCCTAAGTACTTATCAGATATATTAATTGAACCTAAACGCCCCGGTTTACGATCGTCTTCTTCTTCTCGCTTTTTCTTAACTCGTGTTAAACACTCTTTTGCCAAATCTGCTTTTGCTTTTTCTGGTCCTTTTCTCTGGAACTCTCTGCCTACTTCTCTAACTATTTCTCCATCGCTTGCGAAGTTCAGAGCGGATCTCAAGACCCATCTGTTTTCAAAATTCATTGAGGAGCGCTGTTGAACATCGCGGAAATAGCGCTTTATAAGCTAATTGATTGATTGATTGATTGAATTAAAAACATTCCCTGGCGACTGAAAATAATTTAAAGTCGATGATGACATTTTAAAACATCAATCGAGTCGCCATGAGTTGGTTGGAATATTCAAATATTTTTTAGTTTCTGTGTTTATGTAAGTTGCAGCCTTTGCGAGACTTTGTTTAATGTTATGATTGATTGATATATTGCTTTCACTTAAGAACCAAATGAATTTCTAACTGGAATAATTAGCTTTTTTTTTATTTATGGTGTTTTTTCCGAATTATTTTAGTCAGGGCGTCATTTCAGATTTTGGTTGGAGGGACAAACTTAAGTGGTCAATGACTGGGCATGTAAACTATATATATATGTGTGTGTGTGTGTGTGTGTGTGTGATTGTGTGTGTGTGTGTATGCGTTTATAAAAAGTTGTTTTATGATTTATTTGACGCAAATAATAGGCACACGTTATTCTCATTATAAATATTGTTAATACTTTAACCAAACTACCACCGCTTGTTTGTGCTGTGCTACGACAACAAGAAAATTAGAAGTGAAAGAGTGTTATAAGTATACAAAAAATATTAACACAACACTGTACATTGATGCGACTTATTATTTAAAATATTTAGATTAATGGATCAGTGGATATCTACGAGGCTTCATTTCTGCTAATTCATTCACCACTTCCCACAAATTTATGTTTTTCGCGTCTTCAGTTAGACATGAAGGAACCAAAAGATCGCTTTGTTGTCTTGTTGTTGCTGTTGTTTATTGGTCAGAATATCATTTTGCTGTCAAGCGCAGCCCAATAAAATTGATCGATCTACTATTCAATGATGATGGTACTTTTTTGCCAAACAGCAAAATATATACTAACAGTATGCGGTCGGTTGGTCGGCAAAGTCGCGAAAGTTGAAGGAAAAAATAAAAAAGATGCCTCGTTCGAAACTGCTGGTTAGTTTAATTTATTTTTATTCATTAATTCCTTGTTTAATCTGTTTTTTCTGGCATTGAAAATATCGTATTTTGTGATGATCACAACGCTGGCGTCCGGCGTAAGAACTCACATGTTTTAATGCGATCTCGTCTCCATTTTATTTTTTTTCTTTACAAATTGTTTCAATTTATTTTCGATTAAAGTCACTGTTTTTAATTTTTATTTAATTATATTTTTCATCTCCCCCTTATCTCCTCTAATTTGAGTGCCGGTTTCCCTCAAAATCACTAATTTAATAGAATAGAATAGTATAGAATAGAATAGAATAGAATAGTATAGAATAGAATAGAATAGTATAGAATAGAATAGGAATAGAAGTAGTTGAACAATTGTATATTTAACAAACAATTGTTTAATTAGCAAACAATTGTATTGTTCATTCCAGTGAAAAATAACGACACGAAATAACAGAATATTAGATTAACGTTCAGAAACTATCGCCTTCCGAATAACAATTCACTAATGTTTAACGAAAATGCAGTAAGAATACAACGCAGAGTCAAATATCAAATATTGCTTTAGACATTAACAATCTATCGCTTCCCAATATCAAACATTCAATACCCCATATTCAATATCCCGCATGTTTTTATTTACCTGTCTTGCCAAATCTTTTCGAACGTCATAGATATCTCGCTGTCAGAAGGTTCTGGTTCCTTCTCGAACTGTATGCGTTCGTAGCGACACACGTGCCTCTAGCGAACTTATTTGTAACGGTTATAAAAGTATATTCCACGAACAATTGTATAGTTACAAATAATTTAAACTTGTTGAAATTTGAGTAAAATTTTTAAACATTTTCAAAGTCAGTGATTTTTTAAATGTTGAAAGAAATAATTAAATTTTATAAAATGAATCAGTCAATAAATAAATTAATAACAATAATGAATTTAACGTGTGTAAATGAATCTATCGATCAATAAATCAATTGATCAATCAATCAATCAAATTTATGTATCTCAATTTTTAAAGATTTGACTGAACTCAACCCAAAATTCGCAAAGCAAACAGTTATTAAAAAATAACAAAACAAATAAAGTATAATAAAATGAAATATAATAAAAATTAAAAAAAGCATACATAAAAATTTAATGAACAAACCTACTAAAACATTTAAATAGCAAGCACCCTGAACTAGCAAACTGAATAAGAGAACTGACAATAAAATATTGTAATAGGATAATTCCACCGATTCAAAATGAAACAAAAAAAATTATAACTCCATAACGAATACAATATAATACGCTTGCAGTTATTAACAGTTCAGAATAAAAAGCGAAATTTTAAATCTGCTTTCGAACTTTCGACCATTTCAAAGCAACGAAACAAAATTATGCATAGCACTTCATTTGGCCCCTACTGATGTTAATTCATGGAACAATTTAAACTTTAAGCCAAACTCTTTATGAAGTCAAATTTTAAAACGAAAATTATTGAAACTATCATGCTAGAGTTAGATTAACGCGATTATTGAGCAAACAGATTCAATTATAAAGCTGGGTTTGTGGTGCTCGAGTTTAATGTCTGATTTTTATATAAAAAAAAATAGAAAAAAACATACAGTATAATAAAATTTAAAAACTGGTTCAACGAAAAAGTAAAAACATACATATCTCTGAATGTAAATTTTAACTTTTTATCTGTTTAATAGCTTAAACAACATTTAATTAATTCACCACAAGACAAATTTAAAATCGAACAATAAACTTTATTTACCATTTAATATCATACCACACTTGTGTTAACAAAAATTAATGCACATAAATATTGTTGTAACTTCAATTATCTCTATATTTCCAACACCAGTGTTGTAGCTTTCAACGATCGTCAAGTGTTCGTTATTCCGTAGGTTCAAGATTTTAAATAGACAAACCAACCAGTTTCAAGAGCAAACTTTGTTGAACGTTCATTTGAATGCCAACAATAATAGAAACACTAAACTAATCCAAGTAACTGCTTAAATAAGACTTACGACTTCGCTAAAAACATCCTGAAAACCTGTGTCTCCGCAATATAGGCTTCTTTTTACGACTCCTTACAATCCAAAGATTACAAATATAGCAAAAATATAGCGTAATTTGATCATTCCAGAGGTTAAAACAAAATGTTCAAATAAGAACATCACATTCGAAAGAACGATTTTATTCACAATTGGCTTGTATTGACAATGTAAAGCCATACAATATAGAATGAAAAACAGTGTTTACATAAGGTAAATATTATAAACTTTATAGGCATTATTCAGCATAACTTTGAGACAGAACACAAAAATGAAAACAAATTTTAAATTTTTGAAATCCTTAACAACTGCCTAAACTGTGAAGAATGTTTTGTATAGTTTTAAAAAATATTATAAAATATAAAATATATAAACAAAACAAAAAAATAATTCATAATCATAAACTTATTAAAAGTAAAGTTTCAAAATTAAATTTTGCTACTAAATTCTAACACCACGCATGATATTATAAATATAAATAAATAATGGGTTTAAACGTAAGTTATATATGTCCATATCTAAATAGCATTAAAAGACAACAAAAAGCAATCAAACAACAATGTCAATTTTATGATCATAGAGAAAATCTTTAAATATAAATAAATATAATATAAATATTATAAATAATATATATTAATTGTAATTAACTTAAATTTTAATTTTAAAAAAATACTGTTTAAACAAAAAATTGGCAAGTAACCATTTATAATCAAGAAAATCCTATCCATTCTGGTTTGTAGTAAGTCTCAATTTCAAAACCCAGAGCTATCGGTGAATCTTTTTTGGGATAATTTTTATAATAAAGAGTCGTCGTGTTGGCTAGCCAAGCAGCCCACCAAGAGAACGTGCCAGTCGACATGATGACTCCATCACACATGGACACCAAACACATGTCGAAGAGACCCTCGTGATTCACGGACGGGATGAAAACAACGTTGTGCAGTTTGCCAAGATTCAAGACTCTTATTGTAGAACTGACCCAGTCCAAGTCTTCACTAACGACAAAGTATATAATAAAAACTTTTCCTTTCTTGTTCATGAGGTTGTAGAAATAACGAACAGTGGAGTTGATGTAATGTTCATCGACGACGGTGAGACCTTGCTCCCTGTTGTATGAAATTAGAAAATCTCCGCGGCGAACGTGCAAACCCACGGTTTTTATCGTCTTTTTTCCAAATTTGCGACGTATTTCCATTTTATGATTTCTAAAAAATTGTTTAACCTTCCACTTATATTTTTCTTTGAATGAATATTTATCCCGCAGATGGTATTCAACGTTCTCCACGTATTTGTAATTTTGGAAATAACCACAGAGAAGAAGTATCTGAGTATTTTTTATAGTAGAGTTATCGTGCAAATTTTCAAATAATGGATCATAACCAAAAGGACCGTACCTTTCTTCGACACTAACACTTCTTCCTGGGTCATACAGGACTTTGTTTGGAAACCGCAGTACTGACAGTTCCTTAAAATATTTCTTGAATTCTATCCAATCGTCAGTGAGATCCATGGGGAGGACAGGTGTGCGATTTGTCTTCTCAGCCACGAACCACAGACCGGCCAACGTGAACAACAAGTTGCCAGTCCTTCTCCCATCAAATGCGCACGGCCCGAAGGAGATATATTTCCTATCGTCAGAGTCCAATAGTTTGTTATAAAAATCCAATGAATCGAACGAATTTTGTTTGTATATAATTAGATATAGCACGTTTAAAACTATGAAAATTTGTATTGAAGTAAAATATATTTTGAAACTAACGTTTGATATATTCAAAACTTTATCTATTGAAATACAAATCTTAGAAATGGCATAACGGCAAATTTTGATTACACTAAATTTACTGAGTAAACGACCCATAATAATAACAACATGAAAATGTAATCCTCAAAGATCAAAATAAAGTTCCGCAGAAATGTTTTTGAATGAGCTTCTATATGAAACAAATTAATATATACGCATACATATGCGTTGTGAATATATATATATATATATATATATATATATATATATATAATATATATTTATATATTTATATTATATATATATATACATATAAATATTTATGCAATTATTATTCTTCTGACAGTCTTGATTCAACATATATATATGTATATATACAATATATATATATATATATATATATATATGTATATATATATATATACATAATTATAGTCAGAATAATAATATTAATAATGATAACACCACGAGAACCCCCATGTTGAAACCGAACTGGCTCGGCTGTATATTAAAAAAAACAAAGACAAGCGCACACGAGACTGCTGGCCAAAATAATTATTCATCACGTAAGTCTAACAATGGTCAACTGCCGAAAGTGACCGAGCAAGGTTAGAAACAAAGGCGCACTGGGCAGTATAAATATTCATCACGTGAAACAGAAACAGGCGCTTAGTATGTATGAAAGACAAAGACGGTGTATGGAGAAGTGAAGAAGGCCGAGGTATATATACCTCGCTCGCTGCAAAAGAAGCCCTTCTTATTTTTCCGTTTCGATTCCGATTTTAGCCTTCTTTTTCTGGTTCTGATTTGTGTTTTCTAGCTGATTCTTATTTTTGTTCACTAAAGTTTTCAGGCGTTAAACGGTTCAAGTCTAAAGAGGAGATCATCGACTTTTGTGGGGAAAGCACATCGTCATCCGAAACACACCATCGTCCAAAGAAGTTCATCACTTGTCCAACGGTAGAACCAAATTTAATTGATTTAATTCAAATTTTAAATAAAAATTAGGATAATAATAAGGATAATAATAATAATAATAATAATGTGAGCATATTTTATTTATTCAATGAACAAAATAAAATTCAAAATAATAAGAAATAAGAAATGACAAATAAAATGAAGTTTAATAAAAATTGAGTTTTAATGAAATGTACGATCCTCCTAAGCTCGATAACGTTACAAGTGCATAGGAGTGAAAGATATATTTAATTAAGCATTGGTTCTCTCGCAATAAATACTATATGTCGAGCTAATAACAGTATTAATTAATTTTACATTAAAATAATTTGGCCATGTAGTTTTAAAAATAGATAGGTTCAAATTATTATAAAAACCAATTGGCGATATCTCAAATGTGTTAACTGTTATAGAGCAGTTTATAAAGTTATTATTTAAATGTTGTTTCAGATTTTTGTACTTTTCACTTATTAAAAATAATAATAATAAGGATAGTAATAACAATAATAACGATAACAACAAACGAGGATTATTACATATTAACATTTTGATTATTGAATTGATTATTTTATTGATCGTTGTCGATAGAAAATATAAAAAAATTACTTCATAGTATTGTTTTGTTTTAATAAATAAAATGACCCAACGCTCAAGAAAATACTTACGAGCGTGCGGAAATGGCAGTCCGTACGTCCGGCAAGAAGAGCAAAACATCTCTTTCGCCCTGCCCATACTTTCCGATCCTGAGGTCGATATAAAATATTGTAGACCGGCGAGTCCCTCGGCCAAGGAAACGACCGCCTGCGTGAGAAAGGTGAAGGTCTGCGGCATCGAGCGACCGGTGGCCTGTACGATTGCCACAGTGCTGATGACCGACACCGTGGCTACCGTGTCGCGAGGACAGCGGAAAAAACGGTAGGAGAGAATACCGCGTCCACCCTCGCAACGAAAAGAATTGTACACATTAATCAATTTAAAGTTTGTTTTTTCAATTTCCTTACAAGAATTTATTGAAAATTGTTAAATTTGTTGAAAATAAAATTATTTTTCAAGTTCATCATGAAAATTTATTCAAACTGTTGTTATCCAATTTCATCTTGCATAAAAGCGTTACTTAGATTTTTCATAAATCATCTTCAGTGCAGGTTTGGTTTACATAGTTTCTTTAACTCACTAGTTATAACTCACTTTGTTAAAGAAATAGAAATAACTTTGCTTTGTTTAAAAAAACTGTATTAACCAAACATAAACTGAAGATGATTTGTGAAAAATCGAAATAAAGCCTTACCTGCATGATGAATTTGGATAACAACAGTTTTGTTAAATTTTCATAATGAACTTGAGTAATAATTCTATTTACAAAAAATTTAACAATTTCCAGAAAATTTTAGTAAGGTAAATTGAAAAGACAAACTTTAAATTGATTAATGCCAACAATTCGGTAGAATTCATACAATACTTTGTATTCTCCTCTGGAGTCAAGGTCTATGTTGGAAATATTTTAAAGAATTAACAAGACATAGAGGCAGAGAGAATTACTTGTTCAATTGAGTTGCAAATACTTGGAACTCATTAACAAATAAACTTGCTGAGGAAAATCAATGAACAAATTTAAAGCGGGCATTGATTGTTGGATGAACAACAATCAATCAACAAATCAGCTGTTTAGCATGCTCTCTGGATAACCTCAAGAACAGCATTACTGCTACTACTACTACTACAACTAATTCATACAATATTTGACATTTGACATTTTTTATTTCATCAAATCAAAACAAAAAAATCAAAGAAATGATATCAATGAAAAGAAATGATCTGGAAATCGAAAAGAAAATATGGTTTTTTGTAATGATCACCAGTAATAATTGTAAAAATGAGAACATATTTTAAATATTTTAGTGCATGTAAAATCACATTCATATTACAAATCCTAAAAGACCAAAAATGGAATCAAAATTATTAAGTAATCAACTCTTTTACATTTTTATCAGATGTCGTTTGTAATTATTGAAACACAAATATATATATAGACCCACGTAAAACATACTTATTCACACACACACACACACACACATGCACACACACACGTACATAATATATATATGTATATATATATGTGTGTGTGTGCGTGTGTGTGTGCGTGTGTGTCATATAATATATATGACTGAAGACAACAATGCAGAGCAGCCCAAACATACGCCACAAACGTACGCACTTGTATTCCAGCGATGCACGTTACAGAACATTGCGTGTTTGTTGCTGTTTATCCTAACAACAACGTAAACATTAAACAAGTCTACGCAGGTTTCATTTACCGCCTTATCAACTCATTTCGTAATTAGCTTTTCACAAAAAATAATCAAATAAAAAGCAATAGTTATTATAATTTGTATATTTGATGACGGTTAGATAGTAGCGATCAATAATCGCTTTTCAAATATATTGTTATATTTTTTGAAAATTTCGGTCATTATGAGGTTGAGCAAACATGTTTTTCTTGCAATAAAGTAACAATTTCAAACAAAACTTTTTGTTATTATGAGAAAAATAAGAAAAATTGATTGTTCCGGTCACTTACAAAGCTTAATTTGGAACGCGCTGCAACAAAACATTATTCCCATCATTATTTCGGCAAGAAACCCACTAAATGTTTGCATAATTTTTTTCAAACAATTACCATTTCGTTTCGGTTTACGGTTTCGGTTCAATCGGCAAAACGAATTTCGGTTCGGTTCCGGTTTTCGTTCCTGAAATAATATCGGTTTTTTTGGTTTTCGGTTTCGCTCCGAAACTTAATTTTTTCAAGCATAGTTCCTTAAACGCATGTAAAGGACATACGGTCATCCAATTATCACCACAATGCCAATTTGAATTAAATTTTAGATTGAGACTAATAAGAAATCAATAACAAAAATGGTTTTTAAATGTTGTCAGTATAAAAGGAAACGTTTTTAATATTTTTTTCAACAAATTAAAACAATCATTACAAAGATATTTTGAAATCACTGATATAAATATAAGATTGTTTCAAAAAAGATGAAAATTTCCTTTGATTATTAATATATCTTCTAAAATGTTTCAGCAGTCTCTGAGGATGAATTCTAATCTAGAAACAGATGCTTCCAGGCTCACTTGTGTAGCTGGTACTTCAAAATGTTGAAGATGATCGCACTTGATCTCTAATTTCTCCGATTATACTGGATTACACTTCACGTGGCAATTCTTACTCAAATTATTGGCGAACTCAGTCGGAAAAACAAACGAAAAGAGAGATAATTAATTTTCAAAAATTATAAAAATTAACATAGAATTTTAAAAGACGAAATATTATATAAACATTTTTTTCTGAATTTGACAAAATATTTTCTTTTAAATTTTTAGCATCGAACCGTTATTTATTTCGTTACGGTTTTCGGTTTCGGTTAAACTAGCAAACAATATTTCGGTTACGGTTTTTGTTCAGAGCAAAATTTCGGTTTTTAACGGTTTTGGGTTACGGTTCAGTTCCGGTTCGATGCCCTGGAAAAAACAAAACATCGTCGGCAGACGTGTTTGTTTCATTTACGGCACGATTTTGCTACTTGTTATGAACTTTCTGATCCAAAAAATTAGGCTTGTATTGCAGTATTTGATTCCACTAACCGTTGGTTTGATTAGCTAACTTGTTTATATATACATTACATATATATATATATATATAATCCTCTTTATATCTTTTTATATAGTAACCTCATTAGATGATATTTTTATACACAGCCGTGTATCACAATTTACAACATGTTACCTTATTATCAGCTAATTTGATGCTTGATAATGTATTCGATTAATTTACACGTAAGTAAGCGTTTAATCAAATCAGCCAAACACACATTTCGAACAAAACAAACCCAAAAACGCCATGCTATGCCAAGTTCAAGTTGTTTGTGTGTGTATTAATCAATTTTAAGTTTGTCTTTTCAAATTTCCTTACTAGAATTTTCTGTAAATTGTTAAATTTGTTGATAATAAAATTATCCAAGTTCATCATAAAAATTTAATGAAACTGTTTATATATATATATATATATAAATATATATATATATATATATATATATATGTATATATATATATATATATTATATCTGTTCGGTGTTATTATTATACTAATAAATAGAAACAGA